TCAATGTCCCTCCACAGACCTGCGCCCACAAATACTGTCCTTTATTAGCATCAATTATGGCGCCCATCGTCGGGGGCCCTGCCAGACTGGCCACCCCGCAAAGACCGAAGACCATCCCCAGACGGGTGCCCAGCTTGTCTGTGCCGATGCTGAGACTATTGACAGCGCTCGGAAAGATGCCTTGCGCTGCTCCATTCAAAAAACCCATCAGAACAGAGTATGCATACATGGCAGGTTGGGAACGGACGCCGATCCACACAAACAGCATGCCTGATAGGAGGAAACAAACCAGGTTCCATGTGTTCACTTCCCCGAAAACATGATCTGCAATCATCCCCGACATTGGCCGGGCGAGAATGGAGGCAGCGTTGGAGATGAGCAGGAATTGAATTGCCTTGCTGGCCTCAAACCCGAGTGTATTTGAGGCAAAGGAGTTGATCTTCGGACGCGTCAGTAGACTGCATTGGCGGAACGTTTTCGTGATAGACAGGGTCAAGACACTTACGTAGATGGTAGCTGCAAAGAGAGAGAAATATACCAAGAAGCCACCAAGACAGAACATTCCAAAGAAACCACTCTCAAATGCGGACCAGTCAATCAGGCCACCGGATTTCCTGGTGTACAGTGGTGGCCGAGCAAGCGCATTTGCCGTGATTGAGGCGATGACGGAAAGAAGCCCGCAGCATCGAACCGCCCAGGGAAACCCAATGACCGGGATGAGATACTGAACCGTCGCAGCATAAGAGATGGCGCCGATACTTGCACCGCATCCCGATAGGCTCATGGCCAGCGCTCGTCTATGTCGCAGGCGAGATCCGATAGCAGCGGCAGCAGGCAGGGCCATCATACCGCCGCCCAGACCGACACAGACACCGAGCGACAAGATGACTTGCCAGTATGCAGAGGCGAAACTCGCTGTCATGATTCCTAGAATGTTGAGAGCAGATCCGAGGAAAATGCAATGCCGGGCATACCCAGCATCTGCCAATCTTCCAGACACGGAGCCGCCAATAAAAGCCAGAAACAGCTGGATCGAGCCCACCCACGAGATCTGAGACGAAGACCAGCGCGTGGTCTGGGCAAAATACAGCTGGAATACTCCGTACGCGTTGGGCATGCCCCATGTCATGAAGTTGACAAAGAATCCAACAATAACTTGATACCAGGGAGAAAGCCCATCGATTGATCTCTCAAGCGACCGCAGTGTGCGTGAAGGGCGGCTTAAAAAAATTGAATCATATCTGGGACTGAGAAGAAGATTTAAGCGTCGGGAGAGTGATGAAGCCATGATGAACTCTTGCCGATGAATATAAAATGGCTATAAGATAGGATTGTCCGATTCTGGAGCGTCGGGTTATGTTCCCCGCATCAAAACAAAAACACACATGAAATGAAGATTATAAGTACAGTACTCATTATGCTGTCGCTGCGAGTATCGGGCGGTACTTCCGATCTCGCAGTTGGAAATAAGATTGTTTTCCACCGGGGAGAAATACGTAATGAGTAGTTCCGGCCGTTTTCGGCTATTATGGCGGAAATGCACCTAATCATCCATACCATCAATTCAGGTGATATGGGACATATCTGAATGGCATAGGCTGCCAATGTTACTGGGCCGTGGTAAAATGAAGATTGAGAGCAGTCCGGCGTTTAATAACATGGAAGGCTCGGTTACTGTCAGTGGTGATGCTACTGGAATAACGTTGAATGCGTTCCGCATCGGACTTCTGGAGTACCGAAGTCTACTGAGACTGTTTTATACAGGCTCAGGCCTCTGCGTCAATTCATTCGTGAATCTTGACTGGAAGTACAAACTGCGACCTATTCGTAAATTTATGAGACAGCAGAGCCACCTGAAAAAAATGGTGCAGCTGAATCTCCTTGTCATCCAATCATCAAAGAGACTGATAGCACGAGATTCTCTGCCCAGCAGATGGAAATGAGTGGATTCCCAGGGCACATTTGTTCCTGCCTGTAAAGCTGAAAGCACAACCCCTCTTTAGTCCCCAATCAGCATGCATCATGTATACATGGCAAGATCTTGGACTAACAGCTTCACCGAGTAGCTGACGGTGGATACAATCCGCTTGACGGCGTTAGAATACAACACCTGCCCATCGCGCATGACTACGCAACAAAGTAAAGAAAAGACTTTACCTAATCTACCGTGCAAGCATGTGAAATACTTGAGGGATAATGGTCATATGAAATTGGCATCGATTCGTGCCCGCAACATAAAAAAATGGGGGGCCAAGGGTCCAAGTTATTAAACAATGCGGTACGACACTGAAAATCGGGCTGTGGATGTTCTCACCTTCTGAACACAAAGTACTATGATCCAGAGAGGAAGGTGAGATGTCTCTAATGCACGGAACCTTGGCTACAGTACAACCATACAAGCTCCTACGCAAGCTCCTACTCGTTTTGGCAGCTCAAAATTAAGTTCCTTGTAAGCTTGACGATCCTTGTGGGGATAAAGGCAGCCTATATATCTCGTGCACGAATCGCGGCCCTTTTATTTTTCTTGACCCGAACCATCGTCCGCACCTGTGTAGGAAGTGCCTTGCTATCATCTGTGAGCGAGGATGTATTGCCAAGGTTTTGCTCTCGCCCTTGCTTGCGCATTGGCCAATGGCGCCGCCGCGGTGAAGACGAAGAACTTCATCTACATCGTGCCTGATGGATACGGGATCTCCTCACAAGTTCTTGCACGCGATTTCTACAGCATCACCAACGGAGAAGGCACAGTTGCTCGACCAAACACTGCAGCCCTTGGTGTAGACAACATTGTACGCAAAGAATCATTATTCTCCTGCCGTGGAGTATTGATTATGAAGAAACTCGGCTTGCTAATTTAGACTGTTTTAATAGGTCATCGGATCGGTGAAGACACAGGCTTCGGACAACCTTGTCACAGATTCGGCTGCATCAGGTACTGCATTTGCCGCTGGTGTCAAGACTTACAATGGAGGTTCGTGATAAATGTCAATTGAAGTTATTTAAAATTGGCAAAAAGGTCTCCCGCTAATATATTTTCAACAGCCATTTCAGTCAATGACGACGGTCTGCCGGTGGCGTCTGTCCTTGAAGCAGCCTATCTTGATGGATTAAAGACCGGTCTTGTCGTTACATCTCGCATCACGCATGCCACTCCAGCTGTGTACTCTGCGCATGTCCTCCATCGAGACTCCGAAAATGAGATTGCCGCGCAGCAGATTGGAAAGGCGCACCCATTTGGTCGCTTCGTGGATATCCTCATTGGCGGTGGTCGCCAGCAATACCTGCCCACTTCTGAGGGTGGTGTACGCAATGATAATGTGAATCTCATCAATTGGGCTATTGAGAAAGGATACACATACGCCGCCGATAAATCGGACTTTACGGAGGTGCAGACGGACGGAAAGCTGCCTCTGCCATTCTTAGGTCTCTTCACTTCCAGTCACTTGACCTACGAAGTCGATCGTGACATCGAAAAGGAACCTTCCTTACTCGAGACCACCAAGGCGGCTGTCGATACCCTCGAGTATGCCGTGAAGGACTCTGACAAGGGATACTTTCTCATGGTTGAGGCCTCTCGTATCGATCATGCGGCTCATTCTAATGATGCCACCAGCCACCTGCACGAGATTCTTGTTTTCAACGAGGTGATGCATTACCTCAAGGAATACGTCGATGCGCACCCCGATACCCAGATACTTTCCGCCGCTGATCATGAGTGTGGTGGCTTGACCCTCATTGATGGCTACGATCCTACATCCTTGGCAAAGGGGCAGTCTTCTGGTGAGAACGCTGCACGCGCCCTGGAAGCATATAACGGAAATGACCCTGCTAGCCTTCTCCGTGACACAATCCTCCCCGGCATGGGCCTTTCCAAGTATACCGACGAAACTGTCGAGAGTTTGGTTAGGAAGCATGCTTCCAGTGGCTCAGAGGCCGTGGGCAGAGACTTGGTCGAACGCTTCGCGGCCGAGGCCGGCATCAACTGGTCTACTGGCGGGCATTCTGCTGCTGACGTTGTCCTTCACGGGTATGCAGGTGAATCCCAAGCAGAGCTGCGCAAGGAGATTGGTGGATTCCGCGACAATACCGAGCTTCCTCAGTACGTGGCCAAGTCTCTCGGCCTCGACCTGACAGCGGCCACGCAAAAGCTCCGTTCCAATGGCACTGAGTGGGTTCAGAAACGTAGCATGCTCACTGAAATTAAGAAGAGAGCAAACGAGGCTGCTCGAGCTCATTCTCACGAGTCTTGGCTAAACTAAAGAAGAGCAATCGGGAGCCATTTCAGCTCTAGTTTTCTTGGAACTTATGTCGCCGGTGATTATTTGGTTTCTGTCTGCTAGCTGACAGGCATCTAAGTCCGAATAATATAAATGTTTGTGTGCATTTTTTTCGTATCGTGAAGAAAATAGTCAATGTCCTTAAACTCGCCACCGTAGTCTTCGTGAATCTGGAGCTCAGAAAGAGCCGGTATATGAGCTTCAGGACCATGTCAGCCACAAAACGGGTGGCAAACCACATTTAAGCCTGCTACGGTTCACCTGAGCATTTACTTTAATGGACGTGGGCGGGAATACATCCCGGCCAAATGAATATAAGACTCGGACACCCCATCACAAGACTAAGATGACGAGTCTACAATGGAGGGAAGATTCAGTAAATATAAGAGAAGATGAGACACTTTTTTGGAGAAGATCTTAGAAAAGTAAGTCGAAAGGCTGCAAGCCTTGACATCTTGTGCGCACCCCGTGATGTCAGAGCATAAACTTCTTCACCAAAAGCCTCAAGCTGGATAGAACCTGTATGTAATGGGGTCGCGCATTGTCTTTAGAATTAAGTTGTTGAATGCCGGGGGTCATGGGTGATGAATGATTCAAAGGTGGTTTCGTTACCGATATCAGAAATGCTTGACATCGCAAACTACGAGCGGCCAGTCTTCTTTAGATACATCCCAAATCGAGGCTGGGTTTCCATCAGCTCCCATAAAAGGACAACCCTCCGGATCATACACGTCGGCTTAAAAATCGAAGAAAAACCCTCAGAGGGCTCTGTTTATCCAGCTCTTCGTCACATGCTTCGCTTTGTACATGTTGGAAAAGGCCGCTGATATAGGAAAACGGCGCAGCACAATCCGGGCATTCAAAATCAAAGTCGTCCTTGCTACTGGCATAGTACTGCGACTGACGGCACTCGAACGCGAGCTCGGTAATCCTCTCTCGATTGACACCGGAGCTGCAAGTGCCCGTTTCCAAATGCAGAAGCATGGCAAAATACGTTATGAAGTAGCGTTCGCAGCCAGGGCAGTCAATGCTTTTCTCCATATGCGTCAGTTGATGCTGATGATGTCCTCTTAGTCAATCTTTCGACATCACATAATATAGAACGAGGTTTTACATTTTTAAGATTGGATTCCGAGCTGAAATATCTTCCGCAGGTGATGCACATGTCGTGCTGTAATATGTCGTGCTGTTCGAGGTCTTCAGCACTGTCAAAAAATCGACCGCAATCCCTGCAGTAGAAATGGCAATCTTCGCAGTGTCGTTCGAGATCATCCCTATCTCCGAAGTCGTCATCGCAGGCGTAACAGACGTGGTGCCTGGGCGAGTCCCGGATGTGTTGGTCCAGTGCTGATTCAGAGTTGAACTGCCGGTCGCAGCGGTCGCAATAATCCGAATACATCTTGGGAGTGCGAGGATGGTTGTCGCTGTGGTTTGGTCGGTAGGGGCCGGGCCATATGTGATTGCAGGAGGGAGAATTGATGTTGGTGGGAAAGGCGGACGTCGGCGGGGTTTCTGTGCTATGTACCAACAAGCCCCGCTCCTGGCTCGCACCAGAAAACTATGGTGCCTCCCTAGATTTTGAGATCTTTCACAAACTCACCATCACGAAGATGTTTCAGCTAACACGTTGTGCAACAGAAGGTCACGGAAGGTCACGGAAGGTTATGTATTTAAACATAGAAGACGTAGAGAAAGCGAAACGGAATTAGCGATACTACGGTTGATTTGGTGAAATTCCCGTACAAGTGGCGATCTGGTGAAGTTCAAGAAGGCAAGCTTCGCGTAGAGGGCAATTCATTCTTTCGTGCTAAAAGGCAGGGAGTGGGGTCATAAAGTAGAAGCCCTAAGTACTTTCACCATTACTTGCAATTTCCGTATTAATAGGCCATTCCCTTGTGATATATCATATTCGGAAGGGGGGGCGCGCAGATAAAGTCAGCTCCCCAACCAGCTCGAGTAGATCAGTGCCTCAGCGCCATCGAACTACCTAATTAGAGATGTGGGATCGTCATTGACGGGCCTGATGTAATGCAGGTCCACCTTGAGTGACTGTATGAGAATGGTCTAGAAAGAAACAAAACTCTGCGGGTGATAAGAAAGGCGTGTAATGATAAAGCCGAGTCGTGTCTCAGACCATTTCTACCTAGGCTTGGAAGCGCTGCAATGTCAACCAGACAATAAGTCCTTGGACCTGCCTCGTGGTGGACAATGAGATTGGTTAGAAAACAGTAAGAAGTAAGATGCGATGAACGCCAATCTAGGCTCCCTCTCATCGGACGTTTTGACCTCCCTGGTTCGGCGCTACTTACGATATTCAAATTAGAAACAACGAAATGTCTTAGACAGCAAGGGGAAGAAGCTGGGCTTCAGGTGAAGGGGGGGTGGCTGTTTACTTCGGTTCCGAATACGGACGAAGATATGACTATTCCTACCAACATTGATATTGAGCGATATGTCCGGGACAGCGGGTAGGAGGTTGGCCATACCCGTCACGATTTCTAATCAATACCATAACATTGATATGTTATACAATAGGATTTAGTATCAACAACCAGCAAATACTATCGCTTAGGTGGCCGGAGGAAACGTGCTTGTTCCTTAATCAATGACACGCATACCATGGGCGGGCGACAGGTTGACACAAGTTTGGTGATAAAAAGGCCGTTCGTCTGTAGCAGAACATCTCTCAAGTCCAGTTATCGCCGCTATTTTACAGTTTCACACAGCCCACCTAGATTCATCATCGAGAAATAAACTTGTGCAACCCAAGATTCTATCGATATTTCGTCTTATTTTAGTCTGAATCGTTGGCTAGAGTCTCTATATGACAGAATAACGAGATTCAACAACAATTTCCCCAATCGCCGACGCCGACGCCGACGTTGATAATAGTCATGGTAGAACTTACTGTGACGTTCAATTTCCCTACCAAGATTAAAAAAATGGCTGAAGTACTCTCTTCTTCCTCTTGCTATATCCCCCACTTAGTTCTTAGTATCTTAATGAACAGTTTGAATACTAATAGAACCTGATGGGCTCCGAATATCCTCATTGGCGAAGTAACCTTCCTTTTCTGGCTCCGGACTGGTGGGCTGACACCCGTCCCGGATGTTCTATACGAGTTCAGATGGTCATGCTTTCCGCGGAATCAACACGAGCCTTCTGCGCCCTACCCTCGATGGAAGGTTTGTTATTTGGCTTGAAATCGCATATCCGGTCTGATTTCTCGATATCACGAGCTTGAGATGGACCGTTGGCTACTATGACGATTGTCAGAAATCTCAGGAATAGCCAGACCCCAAAGTCCCAATATTACCCACTACACAAAACAAATATCACGCAAGATGGAAATACCCGCAAACAGCCCTAGCTCTTGAGTTACATCGAGGATGGCAATTTGGTGGCGCTAGCCTCAGTGGTAATAGATGCACGATGACGGGGGGGAATGAGCCGAGTGCTTCTTCCCTCTTCGTAGGGTAATGGCCGTGACAGCAGCTCCAGCAAGGTGAATAAGGAATCACATCATCATGAAGATGGATCCCTGAGACCGTGTGTCAAGATCATTGAATTTATTTTTTTTCAAACCGGGAGAGAAGTGAAATGTTAATTATGGCTCCCTTTCAATGTTAATTATGGCTCCCTTTCAATGTGACGGCACGAGGAGCAAAAAAAAAAGCGCTTGAGCCTAAATAGTAACCTTACTGCAAGGAGCAAGGGGCGTGGACCTGGTGGGTGATCCTGACGGATCAGATTAGATTGATAATGAATTTTCAAGCTGACTGCATATGAATAGCATGATTCGTCGGTCGAAGCGTATAATGGAACCAGTTTAATCCAAAAGAGACGTTAGTAGTATGGATCATTACAGGAGCGACTGCTTGATTAACATAGGACAGGGATAGTCCGTCACATTCAATGCGGGTAAGCCCAAAGATGGTGATGATAGTCTTACAAGACGGACGATCTTCGGCTTTCTAGTGGTCAAACACATGCCGTCGGCATGGATGAACACAATCAGGGATTGGGCAGCAGGGAAAAGCGCGCATTGCCGGCGCATGGAAAGAAATGCCTTGCTGTTACGTATATAAAGTACCGCACAATGTTACCTGCACAGAAAACCTAGTCCCGAATCATTATCATCCGATTTCCTCTATCCCAAGCATCATGGATGGCTTCACTCTCCCAAAGATCCCCCCTCACATCCTCCAGCCTGGGGTGAAGAAGGAAGATGTTGATGCCGAGGCTATAATAGAGGCCTGGATTTCCCAGCTAGGGCAACTTTTTGAGACCAAATCTTTCATTGGCAATCTCGACCACCTTTTCATTGATGATTGCTGGTGGAGGGATATTGTCGGCCTCCATTGGAATTTCTCCTCCAAACACGGCAAAGAAAGTATCGCAGATTATCTTTCTTCAGCACCCAACACACTATCCGAAATCAAATCTTCCCGGTCCGGCGGAATTAAGCCCTTTGTTATTGAAGTTCCTGGGATGATATGGGTCCAAAGCGCCTTCACTTTCAAAACGTCTTTTGGTTCAGGGACAGGCTTGGTCAAGTTGTTGAATGTTGAAGGAAACGCATGGAAGGCGTGGACCGTCTTCACACAACTGGAGAAGTTCGACTTCCAGAAGGAAATCGAAGTGAAGCGACAACAGCATCCCGCGACACTAAGCAAGAACAAGTCTTTGCCCGAGGTTTCAGGCACCCAGGTGTCTCCAGCTTCGCGCGAGGACCTACAGGTTTTGATAGTTGGAGCAGGTCAAGCAGGCCTCTCCCTCGGTGCTCGCCTTCATCATATGGGCATCAAGACGGTCGTCGCGGAGAGGCATGCTCGCGTGGGCGATGTCTGGAGAAAGCGGTATCTCTCAGTCAGACTGAACACGCCTACGTACACAGACCATCCGCCGTTCATGAAGATTCCCGAAACCTGGCCTCGTTGGCTGTCTGGAACCCAAGTAGCCAGCTTCTGGGAACACTACCAGGAAATGATGGGCCTCGACGTTCTGACGAGTGCAAATGTGGTCAGCGCAGTCTATAACGAATCGGAGAGAAGATACAAGGTCATTATCCAGCGCGATGATTGGACCATGACTCTCTACCCTCGTCATGTGGTCCTTGCTACAGGTGTCTTCAGTGACAGGCCCATTGTTCCAAGCTTTCCTGGCCAAGAGCAATTCCAGGGCCGGATCTATCACTCCAGCCAGCATAGTACGGCTCAGTCGGTGCAAGACCTACACCAGAAGAATGTGATCGTCATTGGCCCGGGTACGAGTGGCCATGATGTGGCGCAAGACTTTGTGAACCACGGCGCAAAGGCGGTCTCTTTGATCCAGCGCAGCTCTATCTTTTTCCTCTCTGCAGAATCATGCGAAGCCATTCAGCTGTTCCTTTGGAACATGGAAGGACTCACGACGGAAGAGGCTGACTTGATCGGGAACTCAACACCTTTAGCTGTTATCCGTACCATGAGTATCGGAATGACAAAAGCAATGGCCGAGATGGACAAAGACACGATAGCAGGCCTGAAGAAGGCGGGAATGGTACTAAACACGGGTGAAGATGGCTACGGGCTCGCCGATTACCAGCTAATATACGGTGAGGAGTTATCTAGTCCGGATGAAGAGAGATTTTTCGACATGCTAACGGTGTAGTCATACAGGAGGAAGATATTACCTGGATCAAGGGGCCAGCGAAATGGTTGTGGACGGGCGAATTAAAATCCACAACTGCGAAAAAGGTGTAAAGGAAATCCAGCATGATGGCATTGTATTGGAAAATGGCACCCAGGTCAAGGCCGATACCATCGTGTTGGCTACTGGCTATCATAGCAATGTGGAAACAGTTGAGAAGATACTGGGCCCCGAAGTTGCCCAGAAGCTCGACTCGAATTTCGGTCGCATGGATTCTGAGAATGAGAGAGCAGGTGTAAGTACAGATGCCCACCGCCCCCGTCTCTCCTGTTATATTTCTGTCACAGCATCGTATCTTTCAAATTCCATATGGACTACACGAGTTTGATGCTAATATCTACCTTATAGTGGTGGCGTCCGACAGGACAGCCAGGCTTTTGGTTCATGACAGGAAGCTTCATGTGGTGCCGCCAGTACTCCCTGGCCCTTGCGCTGCAAATTGCAGCAGTTGAAAAGGGGTTCAACGAATCGCATTATGGCAAAAAGTAACCATTCAACTGGTGGAGAACAAGTTTTCGTGTCGGTCAATTGCATATATCTTTGCTTTGAATGTAGTAGTTTCGACGCCGAGAAGTGTCGGTTGAGCCAAAAGGGCATGAACGGGTTCCAACATCAATGTTCAATATTTGTATGAACTGCTCGCATCTCACATACATGTATTAACACTTCCAACCATGAAATCTCGTCGGGGCGTCATAACAGACAACA